TAAAATACAAATAAAAAATAACTAATTAATAAATATAAAATAAAGATAAAATTACTAAAACTCATTTGATAACACTATATTTAACTTTTAATTATAAAAAAAATAATTAGTATAGAGTATTAAAAAGAAATATTCATAAAAAAAGTTCTATATAAAAGATTCCTATTTTTTCTGATCATATGAATAATAGACTCAAACCTATACAAAACATATTATATATAATTTTGTTATATTTTTTATATTTTTGTATATTATTTTTTTAAATATAATACAAGTAGTAAAAAGTTAAATTATTTGTTTTTGCTTTTTTTATTTAAAATTTTAGTATTAATATATTTTTTTAGATATAAATAAAGATATCTAGTTTTAGAAATCTAATAGTAACAAACAAGTTAATTGTAATAATAACAAAAATCACAAAACTCTCTAAAATCAATTTTGAAAATAGCTATAAAATCTGTAATTATTTACTACATTATATAGCAATTTAATAACTCAAAATCTAAATATATAGTGTTTTCTAATTATTGAAGTAGAGAAGAAATTTAAATTTATAATAGTTCTAATAATAAGCAAAGACTTCAGAATATATTAATACTAATTCTTCTAAATTTTAATAATATTTCTTTATAAAGAGTTTAACTATTTTTTTAAAGATACTAAAAATTATATAGATTTTGATAAAGAAGATAGCAAAAAATTATAACTTTATAAAAATAGTCTGTACAAAAGATATGATAAAAAAAATAAAACAACTTATTATCGAATTATATATAAAAAAACATATTCAGTACTAGAAAAAATAGAAAAAGAAGTATAGAAATGACTGCAGAAAGATAAAAGGAAGGAGAAAAACTAGAACTTGGTAAACTTTTAAAAAGTCTTTTAACAACAAGAATACAAAAAAAAAGCCTAAAAAAGAAAAGAATTAATAAGAGGAATTCTGTACAAAGAAGATGCAGAAAAAAATAAAGTAATACTAGGCTCCAAAAGAATGATGATTAGATTTTAGAACCTTTTTGATATATCTAAATATAATTAGTATACAAAGAAATCTAAAAAAATGATGCAAAGACACAAAAGTGTAAAAGAAAAAAGAAAATATCTCTAGAAAAAAAAATATTCATTTAGAAAGAAAAAAGAAAAAATGATTAAAAAAAAAAGCTACAATAAAAAAGCAAACTATAGAGCAGATAAGAACACAAAAAATTGTAATATTAGTCTTAAAATAGCATTAGATAGTATAGCTAAGAAAGTAAAGAAGAGAATAATAATAAGTTAAATTTTAAGTTAGTTATATAAGCTGTGATATTCTTTTTATAAATTATTTGTAATTCATAAGTTTTATAAATTATAGTAGTATAAGACAAAAGTTACTTTAACAGATTACATATAGGTATCCTTGAGATAACCAGATAAGTCAAAGCTTAAAAAATTAGATATTAGATAATATATAGCTAAATAATATTGGTTTTAATTAAAAAACAAATCTAAATAAAGTCATAACATAACTACTAAATTTAAAAAAAATAAATAAATAAATTATATATATATAATTATATATTAGCTTAGAACAAATTTAAAACCTTTCAGATCTAGTATAGTTCTTCATCAGTTTATAGCAATTTTAAAACTTATTAGAATCTAATATAGTCCTTTATCAGTTTATGTAATTTTCAAACCTACTAGAACCTTATATAGTTTTTTACTAGTCTATGTAATTTAAAAATCTACTGAGATATAATAAAATCTTTCAATTATTATATAGTATCTATAGAATAAAATATAAGTTACTTTACTAGTACAGTAACTTGTAGTAACTTATTAGCAAAAATTTATAAATTACTATAATTTTACAACTCTAATTAATATTAATAATTTAACAAAAGTAATATAATTTATAATATAGTTTATATTTATATTGTGTAATTATATTATTAGTTAAGTTACAATAGTCCTAGTCAGTATCTATTCTGACCAGATCTGAGTAGGAATTATAAATTTTGCTCAAGATCATAAAAATTTTATTATAGCTATTTTCCTAGCTCGTTGAATAAATCTCTATTCAGATATATATTATTAAATTATTCAGTTATCCAGTTAATTTGCTATATAAAGTATCTTAGGTAACCATACATTGTTAGAGTTTTAGTTTGTGTAAAGGCTGTGTGAGGCTCAAGTAATAGCACGAAGCCTCTAACAGGTCAGGCCTTTTAAGATCGTAAAATGTATAAAAGCACAGGCTGTCTCATTTAATAAAAGGGAGGAGTTAACGTCCTTCTTGATAAAGTAACATAAAACAATGATCTGCCTTTCCTTTATTCCCAACTATAATTAATGCTTGAATTCCACCTGGTTAAGTGAGACGTCATCGCGTCCAAACCACGTAAACTATTGGAGCTAAACCGTGCAACGTTACCCGCTCTCCCAATCTACAATAGTAACAACGTATGGGGTCTGTGCCTTGAAAATGACCTTACGGGACATAGTGAATCATATGATCCAAACTTGATTTTCAAGGCACACAGACCCCATATAACAAAATTTTTACCCTTACTTCTACGTAATGATATTTTATTACATAATGAATTTTTTTTTTTTTTTTTATACATATCGATACGATATTTCTGAATTTTCGAATGTATAAACTTTTCGAGATATGTATAAGTATGATAATTACGTAACAAAAAATTTAATCAGGTTTGGTTTAATAAAATAAAATCAGTGATTTATATCATCGTTATTTAATCACCTATCAGAGGTGAGTATCTTGACCTCCTAATATTCAGAAGACTCAAAATAGCTAACTAAATTCTTAGTCAGAAAAACAATAAATAATTTTATTAGGGTCATGTTATAAATGATAATCGCCTTGGTATTATACGACGGTAATCTTTAAGTACTACGACATAGCGATATAACGATAAAAATTTAATTTTATTAAAAATATGTAATACTTGCGTCAGATTAATTAAAGAAAAAAGGCATAAAAGGCACATGAGTAAAATCTCATCATTTATTATATCGCATCGACATCCTAGACCGGGGTAAAATCGCCACCCAAAAATTTCAAGATCATGCAGTAATTTTTTTAGATGGCGATTTTACTCCGGTCATAATCGGCCTTGCTAAATCTCAGTCTTCACCCTAACTCTAACTCTAATTTAGGCCAATTTTAATCTGATCAAGTATTAATTTGAGGATGATACACGTAAAACAAAGTATAATAATGCAAAATAGTTATGTTGTGAATTCAAACTTAATTTAACACAGCGGAACTAATTTGAGAACATAAGACATGATTGGAACATATATAAACGGTATAATTCGTGCTATAGCTATACCTTTCAACAGAGACTACATGCATAGCCAAACTTTAGAACTTTCATAAGTAGAATTTTTTCTAATCCTCAGGATACGAAATTAAGTCATGAAAAAAAGAATGCTTCAATTTAATTACGGTATTTAATTGTTGATTAAATCAAGTAATATATACGTATAACCAGCATAAACCTAATTTAGACAAAAACTTCTATTTTTCTTGATAATGGTAACGATTATCGTTATGCATATTTAATACGAAAATTGGAATTGTCTCAGAATAGCCAAAATTCAAAATTTTATAAACCTAATTTTAACCAGACCCGACCGAACCTTTAAAATTCTAAATTTCGACCAATATAACTTGGGTTAGAATTAATTAACTTAATACAAATTTGCAGCATAAATATTACTATTATGTCTTGTCCTAATTTGTATGGCCATACAACTTTACTTAATTCGGTAATAACTAAATGTAATAAGGTTTATACAAAAAAGGAAAAGTTGTACATGTGTGAGCAAATTCGTATAATGTCAATTAAATTTTGATTTTATTAATTTTTAAACAAAAGTACTAACTACTACGCAAAAGTTAATGCTAACGCCAAAAATTTAAAAAAATGAACCAAAGTTGTTTATGTTCAAACGTTTATGTACAAACGTCATTGTGAATGCAGTGTAATATGAATATACTTTTTAAAAAAAGTTATCGTGTAACATTTTTCGAAAACGTAATCGTGTAACGAACTTTTCGAAAACGTCACATTTATTTATCGCCCCCGAAAAATGTTAAAAATATTTAACTTTGTAAAAGAAATAAAATAATAATAATATAAACAAAGACAAATCAGGAGAAAAGCAAAAATGTCATTAATAATGATCTTTGGAATGGCGTTATAAACAGATTTTCTTTAAAAGATAAATGACAAAAAGTTCATCAAATAATCGGTTTGAACCATGGTTCAAACCGTTGTTTAGGTGATTTACAGGATAATCATTTATATTTTAAATAATTTATTCAACGTTAAATTTTTTTTAAAACTATCTTTCACACTAAAAATTAATACTGTATATAAAATAAAGCAATCGTTGAAATTATTATGACCATGTCAGAATATGAACGTGTGTTGGCTTCATCTGACATTAAGCGATATTTCAATGATAGTCAAGTATACAGAATGCTTATATCGGATATTAACAATTGTAGAGGATCAGAAAATTACAGGCATTCAACAATAAAAATATTGGCGAACATGATATTAAAAATCTACCAACGAAAATTTGTGTTTGATCATTCTTTTGATACAACAAATTTAATCAAAGTTTTATTAAAGATTTTGGATGCACTAATAAAAGATTCGTATATAGATGATCTTCCAAAATTTAACATAACCAACGATAAATTCGATGGTTTGGATAATTATATCTTGAGTATTCAAGAGAGAATTCGAAGGTTTGAAGAAGGAAGGACTTCCTTTAATTTTTACATACCTCAATACTTTCCCGACTTATATGAAAAATTATTCAATATTGATGTAAAAAAAGGAAGATTTAAGCGCTAATTAGACAATTCAATTTAAAACAGTGATTTTCAAGTTTCCTACTTTTCTTTTGTTTTGTTCTTTTATGATTTAAATGCATGCTTTGAGCTACTTCAAATATCATATAATTACTCTTTTAAATTTTAATTATTACTTTTCCTCTTTTCTACATTCTTTTAATAATTTACAAAAATTTACAAAAATTTTTAAAACGAATTTTTTTCTCACAGATACAGCTACTTTCTCTTTTATCGTTCATATCTTAGAAGTTTTTATAAAAGTTGAATATATTAACTTATTTAACCTCATTTTATATATATTCATTAAAGATAAATTTAAAATATTTATAGTGTTTAATAACAATAATAATAATAATGTAAGAATGAGTAAACGAAATTCTTCAAGACTAAAATAAAAATGGAAATAGATTTTTTTTTTTTTAATGTATATTCTCCTTTCACATACGTAGATGGTTAAAGCTCAAAAAAAATGACACCCAATTTTGTCGTTATGCATGCAAAGAACCAAAATATACCGAAAATCGGATTCCCGAAAATTGATTGTCACATGCAATATTCAAACTCCACGATGATTCATTCGCGGACTTTGAATATGACAATTAATTTTCGGGAATCGATATTGTTTAAAAGTATCTATTATAAGTATTTTGAGTAACATCAATGTTTCTAATATCTACCTTTTTTCGTAATTCGTGGCGTAAATGTATGCAAGTTTATTTTTCGTGTGCCAAAAAAATAAATTAATATAAACTCGAATCAAAATTGCATATTATATTGATATCCTTACATCTCTAAAATAAACGATGAAAAATACGGTCTTTATAGTTTTAATTTTGGATATAATATTTGTATCTTTTCTTTACACTGTATTGCATTCCATATTTAGAGCCATACGAATAACACCTGTTTGGAAGTTAACTATTATTCATACAAATGATGTCCATTCTCGATATGATCAAATCAATGAAGCAGCTACGGATTGTTCCCCAGAGCAATTTGAACAGAAAAAATGTTATGGTGGAACCGCTCGACATAAAACTGTAATTGATAGATTGAGAAAGGAGAATAAAAATTCTTTACTTTTAGATGGTGGTGATCAATTTCAAGGTATTGATTTACTTACATACAATATTAGTATGTTAAATTGTCGATTAATACCGATACTCTTTATAACTAATTTATTATTGATACTTTTTTAGGAACTTTATTCTTTACTTATTATAATGTAAATACTTTTAGAATAATTATTTATTGCGGTTTGCAAAATTATGTAAATTTTGCAGATCAAAAAAAAAAAAAAGAAATCGCACGATTTTTAGGCAATTTCTAAATGATTTCGGATTTCTTATTGCGCTTTGCAAAAAGATGTGAACATGAGATTTTTGTGATGATGATGGCGGAGAATCATTGAGATTATTCAAATTTAAGAATCTATACTAAATAATATAATTACGTATCATATTAATTAGAAATATTACATTAAAGTACATATATTTAAAAAATCTTTAAGATTCTTTGAAATCGCAAAATCTCCGATTCTCACATGACAAAATGATCTGCAGTGTTCACATCTTTTTGCAAAGCGCAATAAGAAATCAGAAATCACTTAGAAATTGCCTAAAAATCGTGCGATTTCTTTTTTTTTTTTTTTGATCTGCAAAATTTACATAAAAGATCAATATATATTTATTTATAAACTATATAATAATAAATACATTTATGTTTAGGGAACGATAAATTCAAAAGTTTTAGTATGTAATTTTAAATTCATTTATTTTATTGATTTGTACGCTCCGTATCCATTCTCATTTCTGTTCTTCCCCCTTCTTTACAATGTAGAATTTACTTGAATACAACGTTACAGTAAGTTTAATGTTTGTCCAATTTGATTTTTCATTATATTAATTCGATGTTTGTTATAATTATAGGCAATCGGAAATCATGAATTTGATAAAGGTCCAGAAACACTAATCGCTCATCATGCACGATTGAACATGCCAATTGTATGTGCGAACATCAATACGACATTAAACCCTTTGCTTGGTGCTAATATTAAACCATATCATATTTTTAAAGAATATAATTTGGCGGTCATTGGTTATATAACCGATGTATGTTACTTACGACTTTTTATTATTTACTCTAAATATATACTCTTTTAATATTCTTTTTGACATATAATATATCAATACTTACTCTATCCAAGACCACTGGTGGCATTTCCAATGCAGGTCCTACTCTAAAATTTTATGATCCGATACCAATAGTTCAACATTATGTGAATAAACTTCGTGCCATGGGAATCAAACGTATTCTAACTGTTTCTCATAATGGATATGGTCCTGATAAAGAATTGGCTGCAAAAACTTATGGTGTTGCGGTACATATTGGAGGTCATAGTCACACTCTTTTATCAAATTATACTACTTCTAAAGATTACCCTTTAGCTTTGGGTCCATATCCTACTACAGTTAAGAATGCTATAGGTGAAGATACTTTGGTTGTACAGGTATAGGTTTTAAATTATTTCATTTCATTTCATTTATTTTATTTTATTTTATTTTTATTCTTAATAAATAAATATAATTAACTTATTGTTACAATTCTAAAGGCATTTTGGTCTGGAAAATATATAGGACATTTGGATGTATCATTTAACAATAAAGGAAAAGTTGTTGAATATTCAGGTGCACCAATCCTAGTAGATCAATCAATTCCCCAAGATCCTGAAGTAGTTAATTTGGTAAAGCAATGGAGAAAACCATTTGATGAGTATGCCAAAACTGTGATTGGTAGCGCGGCTGATGAATTTGATCAACAATCATGTCAAAAAAGTGAATGTACAATGGGTAACTTAATATTAGATTCTTTTCTATGGTCTATAAGAAAAATCAACAAAGTAAATGTTGCTTTCATGAATGCTGGTGGAATTAGAGCCGGATTGTTGAAAGGAAATATTACCCGTGAAAATGTTTTAACTATTTTACCATTTGGTAATTCTATGGTGATTTTGGATATGAATAGTAAAAATATTACTGATATGTTGGAAAGTGTGACGGGAAGGTCGACGAATATTATTTCTGGAAAACAAGTTACTAGTTTTATTCAAGTATCTGGTATTAGATTTATATATGATAGTAGTAAACCAATATTTAAACGAGTATTGGATGTTCATATACAGAATAGTGATACCGAAGAATTTGAACCATTAGATCCTAACAAAAGTTATAAGATCATTACTCTCGATTTTGTCGCCAATACTGGTGATGGGTAAAATATCTAATCTCTTGATTTTTTTTTTTTTTTTGGTATTATTACATTAAAAAATTTCTAAATGATTTTATTTTCTTATTAATATTATTATATAGATTACTCCCATATATTATTCAGGATTTAATTCCTTTAGACACCTCAGACGTAGTTCTGACAAATTATATTCAAGATAAAAAAATTATTAAACCATATTTAGACGGTCGTATCCAAGATGTTTCTCCCGTCACTAAAACTCATAGTATCATTTCACCTCATGAACCCATCCATTTTGGTTATTTTGATGATGATCAAATTTTAAGTAAGAATGTGGAAATCAAGATGGGAAGTAATAAACCAGATAAACAGATTTTATTTAAAATTGCTGGTTTATAAATTGGTTGGAAAAAAATGTATATCCTTGATATATATTAACTTTTTGTTCCCATGGATATCCTATTTTAGCTATCTTTAATTTAGATATTATCATTATTAAGTTATCAGGTTTATACTTTTATTATTATTTTTAGAAAAATAGCAACGTGTATTAGATGATTGAGTCTATCATTATCCAATTATCTATATTAGAACTTTAAATGACTTACTTAACATTAATGAATGATATACTTTTAAACTTGCTCATCATACTCTCTCCAAGATTATATAATTCAAAAACTTCGTACCCCTATCCATTTTTGATAACAAAGTATTCAACTAAGCTGCCCTATTGGTATGTTCTCTACAAACTTTTATAATAAATGAATGCCTTTCATTCATCTTTTCAATCTAATTTTATTATATCGGTGATTACATATAATTTATCATGGTACTTTTATTACAATATATGTATTTACTGTAAATATCAATTCTCTTTATAATAAACTAGAAAAAGGGCGGCATTTTGTAGGCTGGAGCCTTAATTATTAGGTTTTATATTTTAGAAATAAATTTAAATTTTATAAATTACAATAAATTACAATAAATTTATAATTAAAGTAATCATCGTTCCTTTGTTGTAAAGTGTAAAAGTGCAATTTGTCCTAATTTTCGTAAACCAATCAAAAGAAAATGCAATATCAAAAAAGTAATCATTAATAGTACGTATCCTTTATACGCCTACAAATGTAAAGCCTATTGAAATTCTTTATTCCCAGGCAAGACATAAAGGAAATTGCATGCGAGAGCAAGTTCCTGATTTTCCCTCCCAAATGTATTTGAGGTACTACTTTATGGTTTAATATAAATAATGTTGGATCCGTATACTTATCTATTTCAAACAGAATTACTGGAGGCGGTGAGGGTGGAATCCTTCCCAGTTTATATTGATTTCTTTATTTGTATGTTCTCCTTCTCTTTAATATAGTCATTTGCCGTTAATTGATGCTTTCTTGTCTTTTTTTTTTATGGTTCATTTAGAGATTCTGGTAAAATTAACTTCACCAATTTCACCAATGGTGGTGAAATTATTTCATCACTTTAGTTTTATTTCACCAGCATCTTTAGATTCTTTT